TGTTGTATGTCGATCATTGCAGTTGGTTTCCCCTTTGCCCCTCTTTTCCCCCACCTTCCCTCTATTCTCATGATATTGCTACTCTCAATATTGGTCCTGAGGTGTTTATCTGTCCCGGATTCTGTGTGTTGAGAGCTCTTATCTGTAGCAGTGTAGTACTTTAATGGGCTGACATATTTCCTTCTTTAATTCTATCTGAGACCTGGTATCAGTGATCATTTTGTTTTCTTTTTAAAAAGTTTTATTGACATATAATTCACACATTATACATTTCAATAATTCAATCATATTCAAGAGTTGTGTAATTATCACCGTATTTATTTTAGGACATTCCTTCTTCCTTGTACTCATCGTTAACTCTCCATTTCCTGCCGACTTCACCCACCATGCCTCTAGGAAACTATTTATCCAGCAGCTGTCTCTATAGATTTATCCAATCTGAGTTTCATATACAGAAAAACATACAAAATTGAGACAACATTCAAACAAAAAGAAAGCAGAGGGGAGGAAGAAAAAAAAGAAAAGAAAGCAGAAAGTATTAAAAACTGGATCAAAAGGAAGATCAAATGACAAGATGTCATTTTTAAATCTAACTGCAACTACAGTGATCCACCCTACAATGTGCTCTGTGTGATAGCAAGGCCCTTCTCAGCCCTGGTCCAGCCTTTTACTTCCTTCCTTCCTTATTTCTGAAGAGCAAACTAATCAGGAGCATTCACTTACATTGTTGTATTACGCGGTTGCTTGCCTTTTTTCTATGTCACTGGAAGAGTGTGATCTTTAAGAGAAATGATTTGTTTTCAGGGACACCAATCCTATTTTTTACTCTGGAGCTGCCCTCCTCATTTTAGTCAGGAATTAGAAAAAGTAATTACAAAAATGTTTAGATATATTTAAAAGTGAATGGATCAGTAATGATCTCCTTAGGCAACCATCACCTAACTTCAATATTTCAGGCAATATATATACCCTAGAAGCCTCAATTCGTGATCTGTCAAGCTTCTCTGGAGTTTTGATTCTTGATCTCGGCATGGCTGGTTCCTGAATTTCTTTCCTTTTTTGGACACTGTGCCTGTGCCAAAAAAAGATTCCAGTGAGGAATTTAGTGTTTATAGCCGATTAAATCAGTCTCTCCTTTCAGTTGTCTTCCCTCTCAGGGCAAGCCACTGATACTGATTGTAGGGTGCTAAGTGCAACTGAGCTAGTTATTGTACCTCAGAGGTATTTCTCATAAAACTGACCTAGGTCCCAATTTCTTTGAAGACTGGCAGGAAAGCGGAGCTGGACAAAGTATGGGCCTTTGACCTTCTCACAGGAGCCCCGATAGCGGCGTGGTTATGCCTTGGGTTGCTAACCCCAAAACCAGCACTTGGAAACCACTGGCGGCTCCGCAAGGGAAAGAGGAGGCTATCTTTACTCCTGTAAAGACGCGCTGCCTCGGAAACCCGCAAGGGCGGTTCCGCCCGGTGCTACCTGTTCACTCGGGGTCAGCAGCTACTCAATGGCAGTGAGGGTTTTTTTTGTTTTTTTAAATCTTCTCACTCTACTTACTCCGTTGCTGTTTTCTAATCATTATAGAGCTTCCTGATCACACTTGGAGAGTGTCTCCGTTCTTTTCTCACCCTCTTTGCACGTCCTGTGTGGGACGGACTGCCAAGCTTCTCTGGAGTTTTGATTCTTGATCTGGGCGTGGCTGGTTCCTGAACTTCTGTCCCTACGGCGTCAGCGTGGTCCTTCACTTTCGCTGAACCTCCTCTCCCATCCTCGTCTTGGCGGTTTCCCTTGAATCCCGCCCGCTTCAGCAGGCAGTTAAGGGGTTACCGGGCCGGTTCACTAAGAGGCTCTTTGCTCCGCTTTCCCGGAGCCCCAATGGGGGTGGAGGGAGTCGGCTGGGCTCTGCCCCAGCTCGTAGCAAGCAGTTTTCAAGCAGTGCTTTGTTGGTATTAAAGGACCACGAGGGTTGGGCGAGGGGGAGAGAGGACAGGGGAAAAAAGAGGAGCTGATCCCAAGGGCTCAATGGAAAGTAAATGTCTAGAAAAGAATGATCGAATATATGTACGAATATGTAGGCTACAATTGATGTATGGGTTGTAACAAGAGTTGCAAGGGCCCCCAATAAAATGATTAATAATAATAATAAAGACCCGATGGTCGCGGGGCT